GAAACTGGTAGCTATCACATGGCTACGTCCATCACAAACTAACTCAGCCTTCCACTTGTGATGAGCTACAGGGTCAGGGTGAATTCACTCACTTATATAATTTGGTTTCCCCCAATACTAACAACCATAAAGTACCGTACCCCTAATATGGCCTCATCATGAACCGACGGAGACTAGTTAAGTTCAAGTCCCTCATAAAATAAGTGGGATAGTCCCAAGTCAACCATAGGATAAGAGCTACCTCCCGATTCCAACGGTTAGTGGCAAGGCTAGTTCTTGATTCCATTAGTCACTGTCAATACCACAATAGATTTCAATCAATCTACTCCTCTCCCTAGACAAACTCCCATCAATGATCATGCTATGCACATTTCTCACACAATATGCTTTTTAAAAATCAATTCATAATACATGAACTCACATAACTCAATATTCCATAATTCAACACATAATATATCACAATTCTCCACCCATAGTAATAAATCACAATCAATTTCACAAAACATCAAAGGTGGAAATATCAAGGTTTTCTTTCCTAAAAACCATCTCACAAATCAAATACTTTGTCAATATGCATCATTAATTTAACTCATAATTCACATTTCACAAACACAATTAATATTCAACTATAAGGATTAAGTTTTTCCCGATTACCTCAAACCTTTAAGAGGTCAAAGATTTACCCCTTACTGTACCAACTTTCTAAAGCTTCAATAAGCTTGAATGGTGCCAAAAACAAACCTCACTACATCCATACCACAAGAATATCATCATTATCTAACTCTTAGAGCTTTATCAACATATAACTCCACATACTTTATTTTTATCAACTCATAATCACTACCCATTCATATTTAATGGGCTCATTAAATTTTATTAATGCATATTATCATTAATAACACCTCAAACCATCATTAATGCACATTAACCTCTCTCAACTACCTCATAAATATCAATTTTCGGATAATAAATGCTCTCATGGGCCAACCACTTTTAAAATCATTAATGTGGTGTTCCAATACCTTAAATAACTCCCATTATACTTATTTTAACCAATGAAATTGGATCCATACTCCTATAGATCAAAATCTATCTCCCAACTCAAACCCTACCACAAATAATCATAAATAAAGAAGAGAAAGGAAGAAAAAGGCACTATAATCTTACTTTGGATATTTCAAAGCTTTAATCTATCAACAATTGAACCCAATGTTGTGCCCTAATAGAGCCAAATTAAGCTCTTCATTTTTCTTCTTCTTCTTCTTCTATTTTTCTCGTGTAGAAACGAATTAGATATATCTGATTTTTGACTGTGTGCCACAGCGCACGACACAAAGAAGCTCGTTATATTTAAATTGTCATTGTGTGCTGCAGTGGACCAACCACTCACCGCAATGTGTGGCACAAATAGAATTTAGTTTAAACCTTCACTACAATCAATAACACTTACTCTTCCTCTTCCTCTTCCTCTTCCCATATGCTCATTTCGGCCATCAAATGCGCCCGCACACACACACACATCAATATGAAAAAATAGAGGTTTAGAAAGAGAAGGATAAATTAAGCAAAATCTCTATCTAAGCCACATTTCTACCTTAAAGTGTCTTCACAAAAGTTGTGAAACACTTGAGAATGCTACTGCCCTAATTTAAACCATGATTAAATTAAGGATTTAAATGTGGAATTAGAGTAATTAAGAGTATTAGGATGTAATTATATTTCAAGGATTATAATGATACATGTTTAGAGGCAAATGGTAAAGCAACATACCATGAGCAAGCTCTCAATCAATTCTAGTTCTGCATAAAGCACTGTGATTTTGTCAAAATGCACCTCATTAATGGATTCAATGAGCCAAATTGTGTAGGGTATAGCTAGATTATCAATTTTAAAGTCATTGGAAGTAGAAGTCAAATTTAGATGATAAAGTTTAATGAGATGTTCAAGGAATTGAAGAAGACTGGTTTAGTTCTTTTGTAGCAAATGCAAGAATTTTTGGATGTTACCACCAAATTATTTGAAAGAAGGATAAAACAATTGTGGAAGTTTTGATTGGATCAAAAGCAAAAGCAAGAGTTATGGTGCTGTCATGTGCTGTGAGAGGCTAAATGTTTCATATGAAATTCTTCCATGGTGCCACGGTATGCATTTATGTCGTCAAGTTCCATGCTAGTAGTAAGTACATTGAATAACATGCCATACTTGTTAGTTAATTTCAATGTTTAAATGGGTCATGCTATGTGGAATGGTTATGTTGCTACTAACACTTTATGTCTCACTCCCAATTACTAACCATGTTAGGTGAAAAGATAACAAGAAAAAGAATGAAGAAGAATCCAAAGAAGTAAGTGGCACTAGATTGCCAAGTTGGAGACTAAATGTTTTAAATCACATGTAAATTTATATAAGTTATGTAAAGTCAATCAAAAACAATACTATGTGTTTTTGATATGTTTAGAGTGATAATGCATGAGCTGAAGCTTTAGAAATCTCATGAAGCTATGATTTGAATAGATAAGTACTAAGCTATTCTAATGCAAGATTTTTTAGAGATCTATTACTGTTCCATTAAAACTTTTATAGTAAATGAATTATTTTGACCTTGATAATTTGTATATGTAATCTAAATATCATACTTTCTAGAAAGTTCAAAACCAAATCAATTCAAGCTCTGTAGGTTAAGTTATTAATTTTTTAAGAGAAGGGTCAGAATTATTCGTGGATACAGAGCAACTTTAGGGGATGTATTTACTGTACGAACTAGCTCAATTAAAGTCCTGTTTCTTATATTTTTTTCTTGTAGAGGACTTGTCAAGATTTGCAATAAGCCAAGAATCAGATCAATAGAAATTTTTTAAAATGAGTTATGAATTTTTCAAATTATGGGATAGATTTTGAATGAGAAACAGAGCAACTTTGAAAAAATGAATAAACTATGTTATTTGGAACTAAAAGGGATTTAAAATGTACTTTTATCATGTAAAGGACTTTAATAGCTTTCAAGAGAATTTTAGAGCATCCTCACATAAATTTTTTCGATTTAGTTATGATTTTTTAAAATTCGACAAAAATTCTTAACTTACCAAATGAGCAATAATTTAAAGATTAATTTGTAAATTTTTAGTTTATGAATTTCAATTTTCATTTCGCCGGAACTATATCGCTCCCAATTGCATAAGGAAAGTGTTAAAAAATTAGGTTTTAACATATTACAATACTGTTACTGTCTCAAATTTCTAAGTTGTATGTGCAAGAACCAGTTTAGAAAGGGAGGTTTACATGACCATTTTTATGTGATGAAAATGAATCTAATAAAAAACAACAAAAAATTGAAGGAGAACCACTTTGGGCTATTATACATGTTTCATTGATTCAGTCTTGTAGTGTTTTGTACTTAAAGTGGAACGTAATATAATTTGTAGCCATATATTTGCCCTGACTATGATCGCTATAGTCAATAATTCTGATATTTATGATTGAACATTAATTAATTCCGTGGGGGTGGGGTCCACCCCATAAATTCGTCACTATCTAATAACATACCACACTGCGTCTTCATTTTTCTATCACGCATTTATGGTTTATTTAATAAAAGTTTGGTATCGCCTTTTCAAACTTGAAGATTTTATCAACATTTGAATAAATAAATCATAAAAAAGTGGAAGTGTTTATGTAAATGTGATGGGATCAATAACAAGATGGATGTTAGATGTCTAATCATGCTTGCCACTTGCTTCATTTTTTTACTCCCCTCCCATGTCTTCTATATATATATATATATATATATATATTGTTGATTTTTAATTTGAAATTTTCTTTAAGTGTTGATAATATATTCTAATATGTATTCAAAATTTTAGACATGTGGCTGATTTTTAGTCTGATTAATTTAGATTTCAAAATTAAAATTCAGTGTTCACTTCAGGTTATAGGCTTGTGCTCGTATTTAAGAAAGAAACATACAAATTATAAATTAACCTTTCAAAAATATTTTTCTTATGAAACAAAAATAAATTATTCAATTTATAAGAATCAACCAAAGGAATAGGGCTGGGCGGACCTTACTTATCCTTTTCTCTTGTGCAAGGTTATCATAATTTGAGGTTGGTTTATATACAGGGAGAATAATAGAGAGGTCACAAGAATCAATTAATTTAACTTAGATTTTAAGTATTAAATTTTAAAAAATTTGTTTACCTCTCAATTTTACAACTTATTTTTTAAATCTTAATATGATTGAAAAATAAATTATTTTTTCATATTAAAATTTAAAATATAAGTTGTAAATTCATTATAATAAAATTGTAAAATTAAAAATTAAATTTGTAAATTTTTAAAGTTTGACATTTGAGATTTAGGGGGACTTATATGTCATTCTCCCTTTAATATATATGTAGCATGTGTAAGTGTTTGTGCGTGAGAAAGAGAGAGATATTAATTTATTTTATTCTGCTTTATAAAGGGAGCAAAAAGTTGTCTAAAATTTGAAAATATATCCATTTTTGTATGGGATGTCCCCGAAGGGACAATATATCAATATTTTTTGGACCAAAAACTGATCCATAATTTACATGAATAAACTGTCATTCATACATTCAGAAATACAATCAAATCTGTCGAATATCACAACAATCTTTCCGGTCAAGAATAGAAACAAGTCTAAAACGTTTTTGTAACATCAAGGTGTGACTTTGAGCAACAAGAGCGATAATTTATTTTCTAAAAAATAATACTTATAACAAGTTATGAAGTTCTCTCTTCCCAAAAACCCTAATAGTAATAAGCCACAATGTCAAAAGAGTATGCAAATACTAACGGGTTAGAGGAACCAAGATTCGAAATGAAAAAGGTGTCTGTATATATATAGTGTCTATGCATAATTCGAACAAAATTATTTCTAATAAGAGGCGACTCAAGAACATGCAGGTGTAAAGGACAGAGAACAAAACCCCAGAGGTGTTAAATTACGAATTTCTTGGCCCAGAAAAAAGCAATCAAACTTGAAAGAAAAAACGAAATCATGGGTATATATATTATTTGATTCCATCAGAATCACCATGTATATATATATATATATTGCTTTCTGGTAAAGCAGATGAATCAGAAAGGTCATCATCAAGAACAATCATGACCTGCAAGAGAGCTTGAAGGGAGAAGCAGGAAAGGAGGGTCCCAAGCATAAGAGAAAGTAACAGAAGAGAAAGCTTTCAAGGGATTGCCATTAATAAGGAGACAGAAATCTCCTTGCTTTGCAAAAACCGAAGCATCCACAGATTCTGAACTCTGAAATCCCTTACATGATAACTTGATTTGGCTCTGTGAACAAGAACAATTGTTTATCACTGTCACTTCCCACTCTGGCTTCCCTTCTATCTCTTTTCCGCTTCTCACCGTTCCTATGTTTATGTTGTTCAGCGAACAATCCTCGCACAAACCTGCAGGTTTTTGTCTGTTTGGTTACCCAGAAAATTTTGCCCAGAAAGAAACAGAGAGATAGAGAGGGAGAATTCAGGAGAGAATATTGATGGTCGTACCGTAGATGATGATGAAGACCAAGAAAGTGAGTGGTATGAGAGAATTCTTGATTGTTGTTGCCATTTCTTTCTTTCTTGCTTCTGATTGATTTCTAAGTGTGTTGATTGTCTTCTTATATGGATGGTTGAGCTCTGTTTTATTCTTTCTTCTTTCTTTCTTTTTTTCTATGAAAAAACTAAATTATATAAAACACAGGGACAAACTCAGAATTCATTAAAATTTTATCTAAATGTGGAGGTCATAATTGAAATTCTATCCAAATATGAGAAGCTAATAATAATTTTTACATTTTTTATAAATTAAATTATATTTATTTTTAAAAAAATTTGGGGTGTGGGGCCAAAGCCCTTGCTGGCCCCTCTAAATTTGTCATTGCCCTTAAACTATAGAGTAAATGCACAGAATTCTTTTCACCTTTAAAATTTTAAAATTAACCTCTTTAGTTTTTTATTTTTATATCAAAAATATTATTATTTTTTAATTATTTTATTAATAGAAGTTGTTATATCATATAAACAAGACAACTAACAGCTTATGTGGCATTCAAAATAAGTTAATAATAACAAAAAATATGGATAACTTTTTTATAAAACTATTATTAATTTACATTAGATGTTACATAAATTGTACATGTTTTATCTTTAAAAAAAATTGACATGACAACATTTAAAAGTAAGATAACTAACAGCTCATGTGGCATTCAAAATAAGTTAATAATAACAAAAAAATATGAATAAATTTTTTATAAAGCTATTATTAGTTTACATCACATGCTACATAAGCTGTTACATGTTTTTTTAAAAAAAAAATTGATGTGACAACATTTAAAAGTAAGATAACTAAGAAATAATAATAGGGGAGTCAATGGTTAAAAAAAAGATTATGAGTTTAATTTTAAATTTTAAAAGGTGAGGGGTTTTGAATATTTTAGCATTTTAAAAATTAATAATTTGATTTCTATAATTTTGACTTCTTTAAATTTCTAGCTCTAAATTTTAACTTGATACAACTTAGTCATTGTAATTTTGACTGGATTGAAATTTAATCCTTAAATTTTGACTCAATTCAACTCATTTATTATAGTTTTGACTTAGCTAAAACTCATTTTTCAAACTTTAATTCAGTACAACTTGATCCTTATAGTTTTGACTTGATCAAAACTCAATTTCTAAATCTTGACTCGATGCAAATCAATTTTTATAATTTTAACCCAGTTGAAATTTAATTTTTAAACTTTAATTGTTGCATCTCAAGTCCTATAACTTTAACTATTTAAAATATCAGTCTTTGCAATTTAAAAAATAAAGGGGTAAAGATATTTATTGAAATTTATAGATTAATATTTTAAATTACTAAAATTATAGGGATTGAGTTGTATTGAATTAAAGTTTAGGAATTGAATTTTAACAAATCAAAATAATAGAGATCAAATTGTGCTTAGTTAAAATTTAAGGACAAGATTACTATTGAATCAAAATTATAGGAATGGAATGATTAATTTTCTCTCTCTATTTTTTTTCTTTTTACTATCAGGAATTTGTGTTAATCACGCACCTTATTTATTGAGATTTATATCAATAGGCTCTAAACAAGATATCCCACAAATAGTAAGTCATGGGTTTGTTTGATTCTTGTTTCCAGAAAAATCTTTCATTGAAAAGAAAATCGTTGGGCACAATTATCTTTACTCATATTTTTTTAAAAAAAATCTGTTTAGTATTATATATTATAAAATCATATCTCTTTCACGTAACCCAAATATTAATGATTAGGATTAAGTCAAATAACAAGTGTTATCATATTATATTAGTTTTTAGAGCCCTCAAAGCTCAAATCCGAGGCAATTGATAGTGCCGAAATATCAAATAATTGTTAATTAAAAAGATATGGGTTCTTTAAAAAAACATATTCAAATCCTTTCCTAATTTTTTGTTAATCTATATTGATTTGACATCTGATTCAATAGAAAGTCAAAATGTAAATGAAATAATTCATTTCTTGCTTTGAAAAAATTTACGTTAATCACTCATTCACTCACCATATTCAATTAGATTGCCTAATGACTCGGAATTAGGTGTTTACCATATTGAATTATATTGCCTACCAATTCAATTAATTTTGTTTCATCTTATAAAATAAGGGGAAAAAATTGACAGGCACAGTTATATTTGCTCTCTAGTCCCTCATAAGTAATCTAAATACAAAAAGATCCTCTAAAATAACAAAATTACTTTGAAGTCTTATGTTCTTTCTTTCTTTTTTTCTTTCTTTTGCCAGCGAAGTTTATGTTCTTTATTGGAATAATTGTCAATTATTATTGGCATTTGGATACTTGTAAATTATTTTTTATTAATTGTCAATTAAATCACTTCACTAACAACTATTCCATTGCAATTGACTATTTCAGTGTACTAAGTTGAAAACATGAAAGAACATGAGACCTTAGCATTTCATGTATTTTATATTGTTCATGTGGAATTGAGAGTTAATTTTCCATTATCATTGTTTGTATTTTAGAGTAGGCTTTATTGTGGCCTATTTTCCTACTCTCTCTGATTTCTATGTTTAATCAATTAATGGATTGGATTGCCTCGAGGAAAAGAAATCTGGGTTATTTAGTCACCGGGCGTAATTGATGTGATTTAAACCTAATAACTCTGAAAATAGTCTTTTTGCTTTTGCTTTTGCTTTTTCTTGTTCTGCTGTATGCTAGGTTTGTATTTTTTTTTTCCCCTTCTCTTTGGTGAGTTCTATTGTTAGGCTTTTTGAGAATTTTTTTCCCCAGCTTTCACTGTTATGCTATGCTTGACAAGAAAAAAAAGTGAGAGAAAAAATGAAAGAAAAAATATTTTTTCTTGCTTAACTGCAGAAAGAAAAGTGGAGGAAAAAAAAAAAGTGGAAGGAAAAAACAGGTAAAACCCACATATTTTCACTTCTAATTTTTCTCCAAATATGAGAAGATTTTGTAAAGAAAATTTTAATTTCAAATTTACCCATTAATTTTTTTGTTGCTGGCCCTTGCATCCTTTTATTTTTATCATGATATTTATAGCATGGTTACATTTTAATCATAAATTTTCGTTAAAAAATAAGTATATTTAATTTTTAGACTAATTAAAAAAATGCAAATTCTAAATTTTTAGGTTAATTACCTTATATTTAATTGTAGTTTCAAATTTTAAGTTTATTATGTATTAAAATAATTTTCAATTATATTTTTATTCAGTGAATAATATATGATAAAAATTATTATATATAATATGTTAAAATATTAAATATTATTATATAAGTATTTTTATAAATAATAAGACTATTATTGTCCATATAAAATTAAAACTTTTCTCTCTTCTCTGTTTTTTCTCACTCAACCAAATACAATGAGAGAAAATTGTATCTCTCCCATTTTCTCTCCTCTTTATTTTTTCTCCTCCCTATTTTTCCCTACGAGCTAAGCAAAACATTAGTATTTGTACTATTTTTCTTTTAGAATTAATAAAATTGACTTGCTTTTGGGGGAAAAAAACCTAATGACTCCAAGTGAGATATCTAACAAATTATATAGAGAAAATAGCAATTAAGGAGCATTGACTAAAATTTATATAAGTTAAAAACTAATTGTTATCAAAACTCAAATAGCATACTGTTAATTTAAAATAAATTGTTATTAAAATTTGAATAAATATTTGCTGATCATTTCGGTTTTGATAATAAGTGATCTTGACTAATATAATTTTCTGCCAGTGGCCCTCGATTGCTATTTTCCCAATTATGTAGGGCTTGATTTTATGCCATCTTTAATCTCTTATTATCTCTTTCTACTTTGTCCCCCATAAAAAAATATAATCTTTATAATATTTATTTTTTATTGTTCACATGTACCTTCCTATCAAATATAATTCAATTTAAAGCACAATTAAATATTAAATGTGGATATTTCTTCCAATAAAAATTTAAACATTAGTTTGCCACGTTGTGAAGGATTTGTTTATTTAGCTATATCCAACCCTTGTTAATATAAACATTAATAGTGTATCCTTCCCTTGAATACAATGACAATGGAGTAATAAAAACATTAATTATGATATAATTATAATTATTATATAAATATTACTATCTCCATATCAAATTATAAGATAATTTTTAAAAATATTTGGTTATCTCACAATATAACAAAATTTGATAAAAATAAGATTTCACTAATAATAAGTTTCTAATATTAACTTCAAATAAAGAAAGAAATGAAATGATGATAGATTTAAAATTATATCAAATGAAAGGTATAAAGTTTACATTTTTGTTTTTTTTAAAAATAAACTTTTACAGTGTTATTATTAAATTTTATTAGTATACATAATTTTATCTCAAATTGTTTTATAATTTATGATGGAAAAAATATATCAAACTTTTCTTACTTATAAATTTCTTATATATCTAACTTTTATAATCTCGAGTTCATAAGCCGTTTTATCTCAAAATTATTTTTGTTAACCTCACCTTTATTAATGAAATTTAGAGTTGGGCCAAAAGCCATTTTTATTTTTTAATTTTGAAAATTAAGCTTCTCAGTATAATATTATATTTTTATGTTCTAAAGTAGAAATTAAATGTTCTAAAATTCAAAATAGACATACAAATCTTAATTTTAAAGTAGATATATATATATATATATATTTGTGTAAAATGATCAGGTTTAGAAGCATTTTATACTAAAATATCCTAATTATTAGAACTTGTGTTTAAAAAGAAAGAAAGAAAGAAAGGCAGATTTAAACAGGTAGCCCGATGGCTAGGCCTGTATTTCTGACTTTATTTGTCGATTATTACAGTTTCATCCTCCGAGCAAGATTCGAGGTTCAATTATTGATATAATGATTTAGTTTCTTTTTTCCGCTAACGGTTATGGTAGGCTTAGCATAAAAGCCAAATCTTTGGCTTTTCTTATTTAGATTTTAATCCAACAAAAAAATAATATGTTCTCTCAAACACACATACCGTTTGTCCAAAACAAAAAACACGTACACCGGAAAAGAAGTAAAATATTGTTAGTTATGTCAAATAAAATGGACTCAATTAAACTTCTTTAACAAGAACGTTAGTTAAAAGAGTTAATAACCTTTAACGTATCTTTTTCCAATATTC